TACAGAAAAGAATATATACATACATCGTCATTCTGTTATACCATATTCTTTTTCTCAGGCATATTGAATAATACTGTTCTCAATTTTGTTTCCAATCAAATTACCGGTGAATTTATTCACCGGTGAAAATATTCACTGGTGAATAAATTCACCGATGCGAATTTTGACGGCTTCCCTTATTTCTCCTGTCTATTCGCTTTATTTTTCAAAATGTGCACCTCGTGATCTCGCGAACTATATAACGTAGAAAAGTTCTGAAAACATGAAATTGTTCTATAAGTACCGAAAATCGACCATAGGCATTCTTTTTCCAAAATCCACGTTGGAACCGGCACTACAGGGTTCGAAAAGTGGAAGAAAATTGACTTCGAACTTAGAAAATTTCATATATTCATTAGTAGCTTGTTGTCCCGCATCATTTGTTCTTCAGAGGAAAAATAATTCTCCCTTTCTCTCTCTCTTCAAATTTCGTTTTCATTTCATTTTTCTTAAATCTATCTTTTAAAGCACCTAAATTCACAACGAGCGTGATGTGATGAACTCTCAATTGACTGCGGACCGCTTTCTGACAGATTCAGATCGGATTCAGTCTGTCGACGTCGCAACTTAAGCGCAGAGCAATTGTTCTCTAGTTAAGAATGGGTTCTCGCGTAGCATTCTCTTTGTCAGTGCTCTTTTTTTAGTTAAAACAAAGTTGAAGAAATACATTTATTCTTGTTTTTTTAAAGGTCTTTTAAGCATATTTGGCGCCAGTGGACCATATCGACATTTATTATGGTTAATGTTAGTTGGTGCTCTGCTTCCAGTTGGTTTTTGGATGATGAGTAAACTATTCCCAAATATAAAATGGCTAAAATTTGTACATATTCCAGTAATGCTTTGGACAGTGAGCACAAGCGCTATTGTACCAGCTGGATTTTATCCAACGTTCATACTGATTGGCTTCATTTTCTATATCTTTATACAAAAATGGTGGCGTGACCGCTATGCCTTTCTGTTCTCATCGGCGATGGATTGTGGAGCTGAAATTAGTTTCTTTTTTATATTTTTTATATTATTATATCGCAATATAGAATTTCCGGATTGGTGGGGAACGGGTGGATTGTTTAAAGACGGATGTCCATTATCAAATGCGAATTATTATGGACATTTCCCACAATAATTACACACTGATAATAATTTGATACTACTACCAACTATTTCAAAATATAATGTCCTTCATTCTTTTTTAAATAATTTTGAACGAAAATAGATAAAGAACTGCGACTTTCATCAATCGATGAAAAACTCCAGAGTAGATTACATAATACTTTTAGTTTTAGGTTATCAAAGGGTATCAACGAATGCCACAGGTCTTTTATTCTTTTTTGTGATATCCTGCCATTGAGTAAAATAAAATCTTATCTTATCTTATATAAGTCCATGGAAAAATAAATAAGGCGGTCTGCTCTCTGAAAGACTTACACCATACATCCGCTGTAAAAGGAATAGTCCGCATAAGGCTTGAAATCGGCCTACTAAATTATTACTGTTTTATTGGCTCAATCTATCCAGAATTCATTAAACTTATCTTATTCAGTGCCTTCGACTTTTAAAAGTCGAAGGCACTGAATAAGATAAATTTAATGAATTCTGGATAGATTGAGCCAATAAAATAGTAATATTTGTAAATCGAATATAGAACTGCTATGAATTCGATTTACAAATACTTATTTCCAACTGCTCTACCAACAAATTTCAAAATAGTAATAATTTAGTGGGCCGATTTCAAGCCTTATGCGGACTACTCCTTTTTACAGCGGATGTATGGTGTAAGTCTTTCAGAGAGCAGACTGCCAGGTCATAAGATCCTATTAGGCTAAGTTTTTCCTGTAACAGCCGATATTTGTAGTCTAAGTAGTTTAGTTTAGTTTCAGTTACTGTTTCACTTGACTAGTTTCGTCTTTAGTCAAAAGACATCAGAGTGAAAGTAATACATACTAGAGACAATATTTTGATACTGCATCTGCGTACAAAGAATTTACCAATAACCGTCTGTGATTTGTGTGCCCAGCACAGTTTTCATACTGTTTGTAAGCAATAGCTTGCTATACTTTGAATGTACACAATGGGTAATCTGGTAACAGTCTCGCTTTTGGTGCAATATTATCAGATTCTATCTTTTCCTGCTCTGTAATAGCAGAAAAGGATGGACACGACAGAAGACCCCCTCCTCGCCTTAGGCTCATAACGCCTTTTTTTATCGATTCTTCAATTCAAAAATATACCGATTTTTGTCTTTCAACTTTCTACTCAGCTGTTTGAATAAACACACAGCAGAGCTGGAACCGGTCTAAATATTAGAGGCCGGGCCGGCCGGTTCAAAACAGCAGATCGGGCCGGCTGGCCCAAAAATCTTTTTAGACCGGTGAAAAACCGCCAAAAGACTGGGCGGTTTAGACGCTCCTATCAGTATTCTTGAAAAAACAAAAAGTCATATTGATTGTCTATATATATTATATAAACAAACGCAACCATCAGTAGAAGTTCAAATTCAAACTACTTTAAAAAAACAAAGGCGAGACATGTTATTGACACAAATATCATCAATAAAATATTTACTTCGTCAAGGATTACTACTACGTGTACATGATGAGCAAGAAAGCAATTTAATACAGTTAATGAAATTACGCAGTCAAGATATAAATGGTTTAAAAGACTGGCTTAACGACAAAAAATATTTATCACGTGATATTGTGAACGAATTAGCTAAAGAAATATTACCTAAAATAATTCGAGATATAAGCCAACAGATTCTGAACGTCAATGGTTTGCACTCATACGTGCTGAAACTGCTGATGAAGCAAATAAAGGACAATGATGTATTACAGTGGAATGATATATGAGTGGAATTCATGAGGGAATTCCTGCTAAAATATTACAACGAGAAAGAAAAGCATTTTATATCCATTGTAATGCACATTGTTTAGATTTATCTATACAAGATTTAACAAGACAATGTTGAACAATGGATACGACAATTACGTACACAAATGATATTATTGGATTTGTTCAACGATTGCGAAAACGTTTATCAATTGCCGAACAACTATCATTTGAAACAACATCTCCATATACAAAATTAAAAGCTTTATGTCCAACCAGATGGACAGTTAAAGTTGGATCAATGTATTCACTATTGAAAAATTATGAAGTAATTAAAGATGTATTAGACACAGTTATTGATGAAAACGATAAATCAGGAACAACTACTAATGGTTATTTACAGCAAATGAATCAATTCCAATATTACTTTGGTTTAAAACTTGGAAATTTGATATTTAGTGCCACAGAACAAGTATCATGTACAATTCAACGTGTTGACAATTGTCTTCAAGATGTTCTATACTCTGTTGAAACAGTTTTAAAATATTTTGAACGTATTAGAAATGGTGAACAATTTAATCAATTCTATAAACAAGTAATAAAAGAAGCTAAACAATTAGTAAATGAACCAAAATTGCCAAGACAACGACGTGCACCAAAACGTTATGATGAAGGTTCAAATCCTCATACCTTTAATTCATCTGAAGATTATTTTCGTAATGAATACTTTGAACCAATTGATATAATTATAAACACACTTCAAAAACGCTTTAAACAATCAACATTTAGTTTACTTTGTAAAGTTGAACAATTTCTTATTCAAGTTTCAAATTCAACATATGACACTAAACAAAATAAAGACGATTTGGATAATATTCATGATTTTCTTGAAAATGATATTGTTATTGATCATTTGAAAATAGAGTGCTTAATGATTAATGATTATTTTAAATTGATTATTAATCAAAAACAATGGGGTACTAAAAAAATTACAAAAATATCAACTATTTGTGATTTAATGAACGAAGTTGTTGGAAAAAATATGTTTCATGAATTCGATAAATTAATTCGTTTATACTTAACAACAGCAAGCGCAGAACGCGCATTTAGTACTTTGAACAGATTAAAAAATTCAATACGATCAACTATGCATCAAGAACATTTAAACTACTGTTTAATTGCGCGCATATATAAAGAAAAAATAGATGGAATTGATCATATTGATATTTGTACAATATTTATACAATCTAATGAACGAAGACAAGCGTATTTTGGTTCATTTGCTGAATTATTACAATAGAACCGTAGTAATTCAGTTTTCTATCTTCATTTTCATTTAAAGTAAATTCTCTCGTGGTCTCTTCTTAGCATTCTTTGTCGCATTTTATAAAAACAAACAGCAAAACGTTGACTATCAAACTAGAGAAAATAGTACTCGACAATGAAGTAATTCACAAAGTAGTCAAAAAAATTCGTAATAAAAAAACGGTATTGCGTTTATACACATAAAGAAAGAAGAGGATAAACACAATAGCAGTAGGTTGTGAGATGATGTAGAAATACTCTGATAGTCTTCGTTGACTTCAGGAAAAAACAATCCGCCAAGAACAACAATCGTCAGGAAAAAACAATCCGCTCCCACAGCTTTCAAACCATTCCGCCGCCCCTGAAATTGTGTACACACCTTCATGTTTTCAAATTATATCCATTTCATACTTGTATAACCCTATGTAAGAGAAAAATTTATGCTCCTTTTATGATGTTGTTCTATTCCATTTTATACTCTATTTCACTGTCTCTATTTTTTTTCTTCTCTATTTCTCTTCATCTACCATTGTATGTGAGCGTTTTTTGCATGTATGTGTGATAATCAACTTTTCTTTTCGACTGTTTTCAACATGTAATGGGCCCGCCCGCTTTGTTGCATCAGATAAACCATGTTTAGAACAAATGGCCTTTTGGGCATATACTCGATGTACTGATGCATGCTCTCTTAAAATATTAAGTGGGGAGTGGAGTAATTGTTTCATATCCTTTCTAATGGTATATTTGTTTAACCTTCAGCATTTTCATTCTGAGTGCATCGTGTCTTCAACTTTTGAGACGTGTAAGCAAACACACAAGATCCAGTTTTGACGCTATATAACGTTTACATATACGTTTTAGTGTGCGAACATTCTGCTTAAGATTTTTTTATTACTTTATTGCGCAATTTCAGTGTACGATAATACAACAATATGCATCTCCTTTTGATCTCAACCGATTTCGCTTTGCTCATGGGAGTTAGTCAACTACTGCCCTTTTTACGGTGAAATTTAAGAACCAAGCAAAAACATTATTTTCCTAACGCTCTTCTAGAATTTTTGATGTGATAAGTGATATCGTACGAGTTGTTTTTTAACAGTGCAAAAAATATTTATATCAAAAGACATATTTATTTGCTTTGTGTATTGACTTAATGTAATGTAATAATAATCTTTATAAAAAAACGCTTGCGGTAGTGCAGTAGAATTGGTATTCAACAGAGAGAAGGAAAAGAAAATAATGCAGTGGTAAGGGCCCATTCATAGTGCACATCGATCTAGAAAGGAGACGCCAGTGAGTGCAGGCGTATTCGATCTGAATGTGTAATACCTTATTCAAAAAAGGACAAAAGTCGACGAATAGACTACATGCCGTGCGACCTTTGGTCTTACAGCCACTTTGCTTTCATAACAGGAATTTTATAATGCGTGTAGTACACCTCTGTTTATGTTCGCTTGTTCTCGCTACAGCCTCTAGTTGTCCAAAAATCGAGGCATTTACTAATTTGCAATGGTTTTCGCTAATATGTCTTCCGTCTGGCAGGATGGCGTGTTCAAGCGTAACAGCATTTCCTTTTTTCATCCCCTGAGATTTATAACTTTTGAAGCGAAAACTGAACGAGCTGAAATTTTTTGCCGTCGATACCGTATAGACTTGAGTTCTACTAACGAAAAAATTTTGGATCAATGTGGTTGAGTTATAAGCAGAATAGATGCCGTGAAGGAAGTTTTTATCGCGTGTGTGTAAAGTTTCACATTTTTCTCAAAGGCGAAGAGTCTCAGAAAGAACTGTGTAAGGTGAGAGTTGTGAACTTTAAAACGGTCTTCACGAATCCCTACTTGGTTTGTAAATTAGGCTGCTGCATCGAACACCAGTCAAGAAAAAACTTTCGTGATGGAATTTCATCCTGTTTTTGGTACCTTTCAAATCAGAAGATTAGACTTCATTATGAAAGACATTCTGGAAAAATTTTTATAGAAGCAGATAGATGTTAAGCCACTCTTTCTGATGCACTATAAAAGAAATTTTTGAAACCAATTCGATTTGGAGAAAAATTCTTTTTAAGAACTGGTTTTTCAAAAATCAAATTTTTTTCTAAGCGTTGAAACTCAAAATAAAATGAGCCATTTTGAAGAGAATTAAATTCAGTATCCACCATTATATATTTCAATTTTTTCGAAGAAAATGTTTAGGTCAGGAAGATCGAAATTAAACTTTAAATTTCAATTTTGAGGACTGAAATTTGTTCTTTTTTCTTAATTTTCAAGTCTATATTCGGAATCAGCGTAAGAAGCCGCGTCTAATGATGTCCCTCTCAAAATGACTGCAGCAAAAAATTTTCTCGAGCTTTCTGATTTGAAAGGGACGGTTAGCTGGACACGTCGAGGAGTTGGTTCGTGTTAAGTTATATCGTGCTGTTCTATTTCCACAAAATATTTAACATTCGATGCCGGCTTTCTAATTCTTCAGTGTTAGCTCTGTAGTCTGCATTGTGCTAAGTTTGAACTAGTATTTTTGAAAAAGATAAACTTCAGCATTGATTTTTAGCTTTTTTTGTTGAGTGAAAAAAGCGTTAACCGGAAAAAATGTTAGAGTTTGAGGTTAGGAAATTTTTTTGACAGTAATTGAACATTGGCTTTGAGGCTTTTTTGGGTAGTAGAGGAGCTTCTTTCTTCCATTTCATTGCTTTTAAGCTTGGATCCGTATCACCCTAAAAAAATCGTCTTAAAATAAAATCAGAAGACGAGTTGTGTAGTTAATTGCTCACTTTACTTAAAAAAAACTTCGGAGTTGGTTTTCAAGTTTATAAAACACCGATACCGCTGGACTGTAGCTGCCACCTCAGACTCGCCGACGTGTCAGACAAAAAACGGTAGACATTTCATACTACAGCTCATGCTACTTTCGCAGATTGAAAACAAAAATGAATCAGGTCGTCGACGGCCATTTACTAGCTGTTACGTTCTTTTTGAATGTTTATAAATTATACGCAGAAAGAAAAAGAGAAAAGAAAAAACTAATCTAACCTATACAATAAATGTAGTTATTATCGTTTTTCTTCCTACTTTTTAATCTTCTTTTCGATGTGTGTTTATTTGCATAAATAAGCACTAAAGATATACTAAGTAGCTACACTTTTCATTCATATTCAAACTAAGAAATTCATGTTCCCCACCACTATTCCTTTATGTACAATAATCATTCTAGCTCTGTACATCAGCTCTGGTAAAACTTTGAAATTCTCTCCACACACACTGTTTCTTATTCTGCTTTCATACATGTAGTTGATGCTCAGAACTCGTCCTATCCACTGGGTACAGTTCATGGCTTAGAAGGCAGCGATTTAAATGTTTACGATGTTGCTGGTGATGAGAATACAACAACAACAAATAAAGTTGCTGTCATCGTTCTCTATGATATACGTGGTTTTAATGTTACAAATACACGACTGTTTTGTGAACGTTTAGCATACGAATATAAAATACGAGTTTTGATGCCGGATTTCTTCAGAAGTAAGTTGCAGACGAAAGAATTTCATCTAGCTACATTTTTCTTCACTTTTCAAAATAGATCAACCCACAGCAGCTGCAACATGGCCGCGTGTTGAACAAGATTTATTAACCGTTAACACGTATCTTTCACAAAACTACAGTAAACTAGCTGTCATTGGGTTCTGTTGGGGTGGCTTAAGGGTAATGAAAGCATGTGGTAATGGCAATAATAATTCTTGGACGATGACACCCTATTTCACTGGTATCAGTATCCACGGTTCAGGGTTAAACGTTCAGGATGCAGAAGTGCTACAAGCACCGATGTTGTTCATTCGTGCTGGTAATGATCCGCCGCTAGATAATATTACAGCGGTTTTAGATCAAAAACCGTTTGGTAGTGAATGTGAATACAAAGTCTATGAAAATATGAGACATGGTTTTGTTTCAGCTGGTGCTAATTATTCTGATCCAGCAAATGTTGCTGCAATTGATGATGTACATCTAAGAGTTCGAACATATCTGAGTAAAATATTAACTGATGATGGTAACAGCACCACCTATCCACTGGGTACAGTTCATGGCTTAGAAGGCAGCGATTTAAATGTTTACGATGTTGCAGGTGATGAGAATAGAGAAACAATAAATAAAGTTGCTGTCATCGTTCTCTATGATATACGTGGTTTTAATGTTACAAATACACGACTGTTTTGTGAACGTTTAGCATACGAATATAAAATACGAGTTTTGATGCCGGATTTCTTCAGAAGTAAGTTGCAGACGAAAGAGTTTCATCTAACCTACGATGCAAAAGTAATTGCGGAAATCTTCAGTCATGGTTCTCCGCTCAGGAACATCGCAGAAAGTTCATTCTTTTTCTGATTGAAAGAGCAAATCCAGAACTTCAAAAAACATAGAAAACAAGATTTTTGTGATTGGCTTTGAGGAAAGAAAAAAGTACGATACTAAATGTCGTTAAAACAGCTCTTGCAACTTCTGTGATCTTCAAACGTATCTCTCGCATCAAACTTGTTTTTCCCTATACAGAATACGTTTGAAATTATATAATCATAAAAACTAGAAGTGCTTGTATCACCCTTTCAAATAGGGTATGATAAATTAAGCTTTGATTCACTTTTCGACCGGAACTTTACAAAATTTTTGATTAGTTTCAGAAAACACGTAATTAGACTTAATTAATAATTTTCAGATACTGGACAAATTTCGTCCTTTTTCTAAAGCAGATTTTCTGGAACAGCATGCGATTCTCTACAAATTCACATTACTTTAACCTTTACTAACATGTTTAGAGCCGTGAATAAGGAATTTTTCTCGATGTCACATCTTTCCCATGCAAAGTAGTGCTTTCCATCAAAATGAAGACTTATAATACGCTTTATTTACCGTTAAAGAATTACTGAGAAACTTTCTAAAGTAGGGAGGTCGATAGAATTTTGCACGGGCTACTTTCTTATCTATTTGGCTTTCAAGAAAACGTTTTCTTCAGACACTAGTAAAAAAACAAAGAAAAAAAGTATGTTGCAAGAGTTTTTTTAGCGGCATTTAGTATCGTATTTTTTTCTTCGTCAAAGCCAATCACAAAAATCTTGTTTTCTATTTTTTTTTAAGTTCTGGCTTTGTTGTTTCAATCAGAAAAAGAATGAACTTTCTGCGATCTTCCTGAGTGGAGAACCATAGCTGGAGATTCCCCAGTTACTTTTGCATCGTAGGTTAGCTACATTTTTCTTCACTTTTCAAAATAGATCAACCCACAGCAGCTGCAACGTGGCCGCGTGTTGAACAAGATTTATTAACCGTTAACACGTATCTTTCACAAAACTACAGTAAACTAGCTGTCATTGGGTTCTGTTGGGGTGGCTTAAGGGTAATGAAAGCATGTGGTAATGGCAATAATAATTCTTGGACGATGACACCCTATTTCACTGGTATCAGTATCCACGGTTCAGGGTTAAACGTTCAGGATGCAGAAGTGCTACAAGCACCGATGTTGTTCATTCGTGCTGGTAATGATCCGCCGCTAGATAATATTACAGCGGTTTTAGATCAAAAACCGTTTGGTAGTGAATGTGAATACAAAGTCTATGAAGATATGAGACATGGTTTTGTTTCCTCTGGTGCTAATTATTCTGATCCAGCAAATGTTGCTGCAATTAATGATGTACATCTAAGAGTTCGAACATATCTGAGTAAAATATTAACTGATGATACTATAACAACTACACCTGACAGCAGTTGTATAAACGTAAGAGCATCATCATGGATCGCATTCTTTGTTTTATTACTATTGAAAAGTTTGCCATTGTTACTCTTGTCGGAGCAAACACTGTGAAAAAAGCTTCACTTATCTAACTGATGCACTCTGATGTATCTTTTATATTTATCACATTTGACAAAAAATAATCAAACACAACACCGTTTTCTGCTTAGGAAACCTCATCTATCTTAACAAATAGGGTATTAAACAGCACGTTTATTCAGTGTTTATGTCCAACGTCGGAGGCGGGTTTTCGAGAGCGTATAGGTTTCTTATAATATCAATCGACTCCGCTCGCTATCTTCCAGTGAATCTCCGTTTATATGGAGTTACTATGTACTTCATACATCCCATACACTTTCATTCACTTCCATACATTTCCATACATTTCATATATCTTCGTACATGTTATACCTCTTCATACATCTTCGTATTAATGAAAACCTGAAATCGTGTGTGTGCCGGGAGGTGGGAGGGTGCTGACTGTAAATATTTATGAAATAAGTCAGCCGCAGATGAATATCAAAATCAAAAAAGAGGGTAATCGGTCTTGGGTAAACGCGTTTCGAATGCATGATCAAAAAGTATGAGATGTGTGCAGTGGCAGAGCCATGGACGCTCGGGTGGGCTCAACCCCCTCTAAGAACGTTTGAGCCCCCAGACGAGATTTTAGAAAAATGCATTTTTTTATACAAAAATGTGTTAGTGTTTGCAATTTCACGTTTTAATATATACATCTAATTTTGTGGAACTCATGTGTCTTTGAATAAAAGAAAATATAGTAAATGTAAATACAAGTTTTAATCAGTTTTATAGGTTATGAGTAGCTTATTTCAGCTTTGTAGGAGGCTGCATTGATTTATTTTTATTAGAATACAGCGAACTCTCCTGTTGGCTAGGGAGGGCAACCTTCCCTAGCCCAAAATCCTGGCTCCGCCACTGGGTGTGTGACGATACATAAGGATACATGGAACTGCTGACATGTACGAAGATGTAGGGGATGAATAAGATTTATGAAAATGCAAGTTATAAGATGCAAGTAATGCAAAGAAGTAGTGCATTTTATTTTTCGATTTTTCGAAAAATTTCGAAATACACATCAGTGAACTTAGTTTTTGATCCTGATTCTGAATATGATATTTTTATTGTTCAAAAGTTGAGTTTTGATCGAGAAAACTGAGTAGTACGGACAGAATTCCAACTTTTTCGCCTCTGATTTAGAAAAAGTGAATTTTCTCAGCAACGAAACAAAATTTGGAAAAAGTCTCTTCATAAGTTTGCAGCTCGTTGTCTGGGCTATCGAATGATTTATGGACCAGAACCTAGTCTCTAACCTGAAATCCAGAGTTCAGTTTCCAGCAGAGAGCCTGCATTTTCTACCATCATATATTCTGGGCCTTCCCGAAGTTTTGCATTAAGGTTTACAAGTTCAAACTAATTTGGCTGGACTCAGATTTCCACGAAGAATTCAGAAATGATAAGCTGAAGTCACTAAATCCATCCGGGAAAAAACTGCGAAGGAATTTTCAAAACGAAAAAATTTTGACATTTTTAAGGGTTTTTCAGTAATCTGGGATTTTGTCTGGAAGAAAAGGGTTTTGGAGGCCAGGAAGATGATATTTCTGACAGCTCAGCCCGATGAATCAGAATATGTGTAATACATCGAAAAATAAAACGCTCTATTTCTTTGTATTACTTACACGGCTTGTCCACGTAACGCGCTACTTCGCTCATCAAATTTTTTTCTTGTGTTTTACTCGATAAATCGGCAGAGACACATCACTAGACGCAGTTTTGCACGCTGATGACGAATCTGACATTTTTTTTCAAAAACATTGGGGTGTTCATTTAAAAAGTTAAAATTGAAATTTTTTAAAAAGTTTATTTCAATTTCCGCATCTGGACACTTTCTTTAAAAAAACTGAAAAATTGCACCATCGGATAGAGAATTCAATCCTCTACAAAATAGCTTACTCGGTTTTTGAGTTTTGAGGCTTTAGAAAAAAATTAATCTTTTTGAAAAGGGTTAAATTTTTTGGAAATATCCAAGAATGCAATTTTTGAAATTAATGATTCGCAGTGTTAAGATGGTTTTCCAACAATTTTCTATAGTGCATTGAAGAAGAAGAGTACACAGAAATCTATCTACCTGTACAAAAATGAAATTTTTTGAACACGGTTTAGTGCTTCAAAACGAGAGGAGAAAAGATAATCAAAAATGAGAAAAAAAAATGTTACAGCTTAACGGAATAAACCCTGTTTCAGGCTCACAGAAAATAGTTAGAAGAAAAACCCTTTTACCGACGTGTAGATTGTTGTCCGCTCTACAACTCTTATCTCACTCAAAATTTCCAGAGTGTCTTAGATCACCGAGAAAATTGCAACTTGTTCTGTTCTCCAAGAATTATGGGCGTTTTTTAGTTACTGCGTAATGCGTTATAGAATTCGTCTCTAAGCCGTCAAGGTCAACCAAATTTTTTCATTTTTTCAGCATACTTAGAGGAAATGGTACTACACGAATGGCGCAAGAATCAACTCTCTAGCTCATAAATTTCTCGAAAAAACCGTGAATTATAGTGTCAGAAATGTTACTGCGTAACGTTTGGACAAGCCGTTATTAACGCCATACGCTTCAGAAAAAAGCTACATAAGAAAAGTAAAAGCAAAGAAAACTCATATCATGCGTCTATTGTATTATGCTGGTAAGTTCACATCCTGGAAAAAAGTTTTCAACAAATTCAACGTTAAAAAAATTTGAGCATTTTTATTAGACTATACAAAGCCAGACGATGTTTTGACTTAAATGCATTTGTTTGTTTTCAAATTATCAAAGTATCACTGGATACAGTCGAATGAGACGCACGTTCGCTTAGAACATCACATAATTCGCATATGGCGTTATTAACGTCACCACCCATGGAACAAACTTCACCCGCTGCAATTAAGATAGTTATTGATTCAAATGACTTGATGTTTTCCACATTTTTTATAACATGTTCAAGAGAATGCTGCTTGTTAAACGATAGTGAACTTACGTTTTGAATTAAATTTGCGTATTCTTGACAACTTTTATCATGGAAGTGTTTCAGATCTCTATAATTGTAGCATTGTAAGAGTAATATTCGTTCCAATAGAGTGCGATATAACCACGCGGAACTATGTGCTGCTTGAGCTAAAATTCCTCTGTTCCAAAACTCGGCTGTTTTATGTAAATCTCGCTCTGGCCAGCCATCTCTGCTGCCGGAGTGAAATTCCGTAACGATTTTTTTGCATTTTGTTTTTCTTATAATGTTTGAGTAACGAGACGCCTAGAGATCTAGAATATCACAGATT